AGAGCCTAAAGTTAGAACAGGTTTGAGGCAGGGAGATGGTCTCTCGCCGATGCTGTTCAACTTAGCAGTAGAGAAAATAATAAGAACATCATGCGAAGATGTAGGGGGTGCAGGATGGAATGCAATACCAAATCCTAGCATATGCGGATGATATAGCTGTCCTCGGAAGTAATCAAGAGGATATTGAGAGACTCGCTCGAACTCTGTTAGAAGAAGCAGAGCAAATCGGACAACAATTCAATGTACACTGACAGGCAAAAAATTCCACCCGCTTGATTTCTTCATGTTTTAATCTAAAAATATTTCTGCTTTGGATTGGTCTATTATTTTTAATGAATAAATAGGTAATATTTTTGTTAGTTTTCAATTAGGAATGTTAATATAGAGGACAATAACCCTTAATCCTTTATTCAATTAAATGGTTCTAGATTCCAATGTTTACTTTCTATGGAATTAAAATGTTTATTCAGTATCATTAGTTCAGTGCCGTTTCTTGCAGCACATTTCATAGTCTCCGGCTTTTAATTTTTTCAATATTAAGTTTAAAAATGCCTCTTAGTGCTGAGGATGTTGCGCGTGGTGTGGCACTTATTGATGATGGACGTTCCATTAGATATGCAGCTTATGCCATCGGAGTTCCATATGAAACGTTACGAGACGCCGTCAGGCGTTTTCGGGAAACTGGTTCTTACAATAGAAGGCCCGGTTCTGGACGGCCTAGGGTAACAGAACCACGGGATGACCGGTTTTTAACTTTGAGAATTTTACGAAACCGGCACCTTACTGTTGTTCAAGCGATTCATCAGTACGAAGAAGTTCGAGGTGTGCAAATTTCTGAACGTACCACTCGGAGAAGATTAAATGAGTATGGATTAATGGCTTTTCGTCAAGTAAGAGGACCAGAGTTGACCAGAACTCACAGAGTAACACGGCTGGCTTTTGCTCGAGAACACAGCCATTAGACTATGGACGAATGGAGTGCTGTAATTTTTACTGATGAGTCAAGATTCTCTCTTCGATCTCCAGACGGGCGTGAAAGGGTGTGGAGAAGAAACGAAAGATATGCAGCCTGTAATTTTCCCCAGAGCCAACCTTTCCAACGTGGTTTCTTAATGGTGTGGGCTGGGATTTCAATAAAGCGCCGCACAGAATTGGTTGTTGTTCGTGGAGGGTCTTTGACGGCCATTCGCTATGTAGATAAGATTTTGGAACATCATGTGTTGCCTATCCTCAGACGTTCCTTCAACAGAACAATATTGAGGTTTTAGCCTGGCCGGCACGTTCTCCAGATTTCAAACCCAATTAAGCATTTATGGGATAACCTCGGAAGACGAATAAGAGTGCGTGCAACACTTCCTGATACACTGCAGGACCTTTAAAGGGCTCTTCGGGAGGAATGGGCTATCCTCCAGCAAAGGGACATTTCCCTACTGGTGGAAAGTATGCCGAGGCGTCTTCAAGAAGAAGTGAAAGCAAGAGGAGGAAACACGCGCTAATAAACGATGATGTAATTAATTTCTTTTAGAATAATAATGGTTCGTTTTGGAATCTTGGAATCTTAGAAACATTGGAATATAGAATCATTTCATTGAATTAAGGATTAAGGGTTATTGTCCTCTATATTAACATTCCTAATTGAAAACAAACAAAAAGATTATCTATTTATTCATCAAAAACAATAGACCAATCCAAAGCAGAAATATTTTTAGATGAAAACATGAAAAAATCAAGTAGGTGGAATTTTTTGCCTGTCAGTGTAGATAAAACAAAATGTATAAAACATCCAGCCTAATATCACTTATTAAAAAAGTTCCCTGTTTAATAAGCTTTAAGTTCTTATAGATTAAGTTGAGGATTTATTAAGAGTTGAGATTCATCTCAAGTTGTGTAAAACAAATAATGATTTGATATCGTGTCACCTAAAGTTTCCGATTTTCAGCAAAAACGACTACAATAAATTATTGTAAAACTTTAATTATTTTCTTCTTTCCATGGGATATTATAATATTCTTAATTGCATAAAACAATTATAATTTATAAAAATATAATAAATGTTAACAATTATAATTTTCAAATATTTATCATCTAAAGTAATTGCAAAACTGTATTTTTTTAAACCAATATCTTTATTACAGGAATTTATCTGTATTTATAAATGATCAAATGTTCCTAACCCTAATATTTACCGAATAAGCAACATTTACAAGGAATGGTACATTTTATTAAATAAATATCTGCAATCTATCAAATGAAAATCTTCTTGCCATATGACATAGATAACATCAATACCAATTTAATGTTTTTGTTTTTCGATTGACGTTTACATTTTAAAAACTCTTTTTCGAAGACCACCGTACCTTTCTTATTCGAAAATCTAGCCACTTGTAGGTGCCCTCCCCCCTCCAGTGCTGGCGTCTATATATTTATCTACCAATGATATCAAAACTGAGTAGTGCTATGTATCTTAGTGGCTGACGTTCGAATTAAAATATATTTAAAGATTTGGTATAAATAAATAGACTTAGTCAAACAAAGAAAGAGCCACCGACACAAGTAAATCAAGTAGGGTCCTCGACCTAAGGGGACTGAGGCCGTTCGGTGCACTGTCTGGTAATGGGTGCAATAAAGATAAACCTAATGGACGGTCAAGGAGGGTACAAAAGTCGGAACGATACCCTGGATGCATGGTACACGAGCCGTCTTAGGGTGAAGCAAGGACAGTGGGTTGGAGACGGCCAGAGGTACAAAGCAGTACTGGAGGGGAAGAGGTACAGCCTGAATAGTTCCTTGGAGATGAGAGTCTAGAAGAGAGAGAAACAAGCTGTTGGACGATGGGGGCTAGAGATGATTCTGGAAGGAAGGCGGATAGAATCTAGAGAACATTAATGAAGCTGATCATTCCACCAGCAGTTACACCAAAGGCCGAGTCATAACGTTCATTTAGATATTACTATGTAAACTGGTGTTTAGCAATCAGCAAAATAATAACTTAATTAGTTCTACGTCCAAATAGCATTCTCCAGTAAAGAGTTCCATACGTATTTAATAATGTTTTAGATCAAAAGTACATTACTTATTGATTAAATCTTATTTTAATTTTTTTTAAGACCTTACTTGCCTGCTTACCATATAGACATACAGTTACAAATAGTAAATTGTAAACATGATACTTTTAGAAATGAAACCAATAGAAATTAAACTTCAATCTAGGATACTTCTCCCTGCTGAAGTATCCAAGTATGCCTGTAGTATCTAGCTTTCAAATATATAATTAATATATTTTTAAGTAGATCAGTTCCCTTCTGAAATCGATAGAAATACAAATGTAAATATTAACTACCTTAAATAAAAATAAATACGGTTTCTGGAACCCCTACCCGCCTTAGAAAAGCGGAAGATACGTAGCGGAAGAGTAACCAATCTTCGTTGGTGTTTGCCAGCCGAACATTGTTTGAAGCCAATAAGTCATCCTCACAACAGAATAAATATATAATGAAACTATATAAGAAGAAGTATATAAATAAACTATATTTATTTGTATGGACGGAAGTTTATTTTAGTCCACAACAATTGATCTTTACTATAAATTTTTTGACCAAAACATATTAATCCAGCCTGTGCAGCAAATCATTTGTTACGCTTGACGCTACTTTCGTCCAACTAAACGTTTAACAGAATGGGTTTAATCTCAAAATAATCGAACACTTCTTCTCTCCCTGCGGATCCAGCTTTAGGGGAACCTGAGTTGTGCAACAATTACGGTTTTTATATTTGCAATGATCTTATGGTTGCATTAATCCCCTCTTCGAAATTTTGTTTAAAGAGAAAATGGATATATATTTGGGTAGGAGGGTAATAATTTGTTTTATTTTTTGGGGGGGAGGGAGGAGGAGTTGTCAACCACCTCCCCCCCCCCTCCTCCGAATTTTCTTTAAAGATAACATGGCTATATGTTTGGGTAGATGGGTGATATTTTTTTTACTTTATTTTTTTTAGGGGGGAGAGAAATTCTCCATCCCCATTTTTTAAAAAGATATAATGGCAATATGTTTGGGTAGGTGGAGGATACTTTTTTGTTCAAAACTAGATTTTTATGCAATTTTTTTTTTAAATATTAAATAATTAGAAAACAAGAACAGAACCAATTTGAAACAAGAAACGTTTTAATGTCTTGGAAACTCTTTGGAAACCTCCTTCTTTAGTTGAAGCAAGATCTTAACTGATATAATATTGACTCAATATAATTGACAGGTGTGACGTACCCCTTCAATATATTGCCTGCAATTATATTGCTTCAATAATATTGACCTTGTAAGGGGTCCTTTACTGTGTGTTTGCACAATTTTCAATTCAATTAATTAGCCTATTAGATTTAAGTTAATTCAAATTTGTAAATTACTATTATTTTATGGTATACAGACATATATTTGAAAATAGCCAAATTGGGAAGACAGAGACGTTATTTGAGATACCAGTGACTATTTTTTCAGATAATAATTCAGCTTTCAATAGCCTAAAATTCTGAGATTTCCTTCTGCATGATGGAGAAATCAGTACTAATAAAATTGACGAACTTCATTATAAAAAAAAAAAAAGAGAAATATTATTTCATAATCCCATAAAGTTTCATATGAAAAAGGTATGTTTATCTAGCTTTATCTAGTAACTGATGAGCTTCAAAGAAAAAACAGCAATAAGATTAAATTTATCTTTTTGGAAGTGTTTATCATTTTGTTACAGATTACGTGTGATTTAGATTATCCAATGAGTAAATTTCATCTTAATGGATTAATATAAAGAAATGTTTATTTATTCTTTAATGGTGTTTGATTTAAAAAATTAAAATAAATTGTAAAAATATACATTTATAATTAATTGCTTAGAAGCATTATTTTTTCAACTTAAATTTATTAATTATTGTTTTAATGGAGTATAAAACCAAGAAGTATTTTTGGCAACATTGCCAGGAAGGCTTAAGATGGGTTATTTTGTGTTTCTGTATTTTTTTAATTTTAATTTTAATTTCTAATGAATTCTGATGGCGGAAACCTCCAATTCACTAGATGAAGAAAATCTTGAAATTAAGACGAAAAGCATTGAACAAACATTACTTCCTTTAGTAAAACAGGTAATATCATTGTTTAATAGCTCATAATAGATTGTGCTGCTATTTTTAAATCGAAGTATCAGAGTTTCGGTTCAGTAAATGCTCTTCTAGCCGCATTCATTATATTCATGTAACTAATTTTTTTTTTTTAGATTATATGAACATTTTATTAACACTTTTTCTTTCCTTTTAAATAATTTCATTTGACACGATATCATCCAATACATCACAATCTATCAGTATTCTTTAACACATATTTTATCCTGATGTTAACAATCGAGAATATAGCAATGTTATGAATGCGAAAATTGAAGTTTAGGTTACACAGTGGTTAACAATAAGGTTACCAACATTATCTTCATCACATGCCACTAGAGTGGACTGTTTTCAAAGTATTGATTACTGTCAGTTGGCATGCTCCTGTCAAATGTTGTGGGTTCCTCATCAAGTCTTCCCATTATCAATTAGTTTATTAAAATAATTAAATTGTGTTAAAGGTTTAATCTTTATGACCATTTGTTTGTAAGAAATGTCAGCTATTACTGAAAAACAGGTGATAGTAATCCATCACTGATTATCTGAAGTTGTATTTTGTTAACATTTTCTTTTTGGCATATTCAATTAATATTTCTAGTGATTTTTATTTTTAATGATCCCCATTACTTTTCTTTTCTTAGTTGTTTGTTATATTTTGCTGTGCGGGAATCTACTAATTTATATTTCGAATTTATTGGTATGTTAGTTAACATACTTGTAATATTGCTGATATCATCATGACACTTTTGAAAAATATAATGTCCAATAGTTCATCTTGGAAATGATATGCCATGTTTTATAAATTTTCTGTTCATTTAAACTCCAAAATAGGTGAATTATTCATTTATAGTTTTGGATGGCTGATAGCCATATGTTTCTAAAGAAGTTTTAAATATTTTAAAAATATCCTATATTAATTATCTGCTATAACATGAACACACTATTAACTAAATCGGCTATCCAAAATGTGACCATTTAACTGTTAATGTTCTCTGCTTTCAACAAAAATAGATATTTGTTTTACATAGTAGCCCAAAGTTAATTGTTAATCGTTTAATATTTAATATAGTTAATCGTTAATATTTGAGAAATATTGTTGATCGAGGTTTTAAACATGAATGTCATAACTTTCCTTGATGAAACTTATTAACTTTAAAGTTATGATAAAGTCAAAATATGTGACACAATTAGATGCATAGCACTTTCAGATCAACTTTGATTTATGAAATGTGCAGGTCTAATATAATATCTATAACTTCTGTCTTAGTAGAGGTGATGAAGAAATTAAAGAAACTTCTGATAGATTATGGGAGTCTACCATTTTTAATGATGTAGAGATGGTTGACCGTTGATATAATATGAGAAGGAGTTGATCGGGGGGGTGCGGTCAAATTAATACTAAATTAAATAAGTAGAAGAGGTCTCCCGCAGTGCTACATCCTACACCCTGATGAAGGCCTACAAAGTGGGTCGAAACGTCGGCAAAAATTAAATAATTCTACTTATTTAATTTAGTATTAATTTGACCGCACCCCCCGATCAACTCCTTCTCATACTATTTTTAATATATTTAATTAAGTGTAAATGGATAAATCTATTAATATTATTAATGTCCTTAATTGTGACAAAATGTACCTAATTTTACTCAGTAAAGAAATGTTCGAAAGATTTTTAATCTAACAACAGTTTGTTAGGCTTACTATTCAGCAATTCCTCTTTTGGTTTTCAAACCATGGATTTAGTTAATTTATATGTGATAGTCTATTAATGTTATATTAACTAAATCTTCATTTGAAAGAATAAATGAGAATTAAATTATAAAGTTATGTTTTTAGGCAGGAAGATTGTTAGTTCTGTTATGTTTTAATGGTCTTAAGATTAATTATTATGTCTTCAACCATGGGATAAAGCAGTGTTAAAATGAGTCCTGATTGCTATTTATCTAGAATTAATATTGTATTTATTGCCCCAAATTGAGTTTTAGTAATATAACAAACAAATATTTTCATATCCATGTAAAACGAGCTCTAAAATTAAGGGTTAACAGGATTTAATTAATTGCAGAGCATATTTTTTACGTTGAACATAATTATGGTGATGTATATAGTTAAAATCTTTATTGCTCCTTATATTCTTATTAATAACTGAAGCATAATTATGATTGATCTCCTATGTATAACCAAATAAATTCTAAAATTTGAGTTTCATATATATGGAATAGATTTTTTATAGTTTTATTAAGAAAAATAAATACAATTTAAATTATAATGAAAGTTTTTTTTTTAAATTAAATTATTTAAAGCCTGTTTACTAAACTGAACATGACATCTTAATCTCCCTATAATTTAGTTTTGTAATGATTAATTTTTTTTAGTCACTTCTTTTCCAGTTATTTTTTATTTAATTTAATCTTTAAATTTTAGTTGGCTTTTATATTTGTACTTTAAATTCTTTACAACATTTACCATTTTACAGATTTCAACCTTAGTATCACATAGAGAGCGAAGTATTTGTTCAGAAAGATCACTTCGAGTTGTTGCGAGAGTTGGTCAAGCAGTGAATGTTGCAGTTGAAAGATTTGTCACCGTAGGTGAAAGTATTGCAAGTGATATACCGGAACTTCGTGATGACATGAACAGAGCCTGTAATCAAGCTAGAGCTGCTGGTTTGTTACTTAATCAATTTTTTATCTAAAAAAGAAATGATAGTGATAATTGTAAGCCATGAGAGCCTTGAAAATTATAATAATTAGGGCCTGGATCTGAAGATTTAAATTTTCCTAAGTATAGATTGTAAAAATAAATTTAGAACTAAAAAAGGTCTTAAATCACTTATTATAAATAGTATATAGTATAGTTTAAACATGAAAAATACGAATGAATATGGTTAAACGGAGTAGGAACATTATTTTTAAACCATAATGTTCAACCATAATGTTTAAAAAAATTTGAATATGAATAATTAACATCACTTATTGATAATTAATTGAATCCAGCTCTGATATGGCGAACTCCAATGCCCTGCCACCTGCAATTGGTCCATTCCTCAAACGAATTTTCTCGTAGCGACTGCCGTAGAGCTCTCATATTCCGAAGGCCACGTTCAAAACCCAATCTCTCGCCACATTCAGCGACCTCAGATCGATTGGAAAAGGGCATCGGGGACGTTGACAGTCGCTGAGCAATGGACCAATGTTGTAGGGGAGTCTCCCATTGGCAGTGGATTAATCCTAATCCTTGATACCTCCTGGAAGCGTATAACATCGCCGCGGAGGTGTTCCCAGAGAGTCCAACAATAGCCTTCACACTCATGCGAATCATGGTGTCAAGTATGGCAGAATGCAGCTTTGTGAGGGGCGCAGTTTGGAGAGGGTTAGTAAGACCCAGGAACAGATACTGATTGACAATATTTAGCTTCTGCTCCGGCTTAAGCAAGGAAGAGGTTACTAGTTTATTAAGATTTTCGTTCAGTTTGGTCACTGAATCTTCGTTGAACTGTAGCTCTCCCGAGAATGTACATCCTTGATACTTGATTGTATCTCCATTTTGCAATATTTGGATGTACTCTCCATTCTCAAGAGATAGTATCGCTGTTTCCAGCTCTTCTTTATTTAGAACAATGCCCACGCTTTTTTGAGGATTTATAGCCAATTTCCTCAAATGTTCTCTGTAAGCTGCCGATCACTCTTTCTGCAGCCCCTTTGTCACGTGTCGACACAGCCTTGTCTTTCGCGAAACCTCTGAGGACCATGCAACCTTGGTCACTTTTTAACTTATATCCAAATTTTTTGGGAAATTATTTATCTCACAGGTCGCGATAGAGATGGTCGATGGCCAGGTTGAAGAGCGATGACAACAAGTGGCCGCCTTGGGGTACTCCGCGCAGCACTTTGATTTGGCTAGTTGCGTGAACACCATTACTAATCTTGATTTGAGTTTGTGCAGAGGAGAGCCAATATAACATGTTTAAAATCCGATGACACACCTCTTACTTCATAAGAGCTCACATCTGATTGTGGCCAACATTATCAAAAGCACCGACAACGTCAAGGAAGACTACACCACAATCATTTTTCATAATTTTTGTATCTTTTAATATAGCGTCGATAATCCTTGCATTGACATGTGTTCCCGGGAGGCCTTTTATAAAGCCTCTCTGATTCCTGTGGAAGGTGACCTGCTTTCTTAATTCGTGGTCCAGAACCTTCTGTATGATTCTTTATGATTTCGGAGGACACCGCTTAGGAGTGTCAGCATTCATAACAGTTTGCACAATCTTTTTCCTTTTATTATAATAATTGTATTTTGCAACCTCATATTGATAATGCTCCTTCCAACAACACCTGTCTACCTTGTTCGCTCTTTGTGGATTTGAGACTTGTCCAGCACCCTTGTCAGCCACTTTTGTTTTATTTTTTTTTCTTGTTTGTAAAATTTAACGACTGGGTGCTGGGGACCTGGCAGTTCCGCATTGATAATCTTGGGAAAATTCAGGAACTTGTCTACTGCCTCATCAAAATCCGCAATATTTATCGTGTTTTCTTTTGAGAGGTTCTTGAACACAGTATACCATCCAATAACGTCCTCTTTTATTTTTGATACCTCACGCTCTCCATTTGTAGGACCTATAACATTTTTCACAATGCCCCTCAGTGTATTGCTGTTAGCCTCCCTGGGGTGCTTTTTTGCAATATGGGTTCCAAGACCTCTTTCACCCTTAAAAGAAAGCCCACACATGGGACAAACTTTATTATTAGAGGGTAAAACTTCGTACTCCTGCTCCCTGTTCGTCCCTGCGACATTCTGCGTGCGGGAAAGACATCATATATCGAAACTGTCTTTCCCAATAGTACACCTTCTGTGTCTGGCCGTTCGACTTTTACATATTTCTTTTCATCGCCTCCCGCAGCATCCACAGGCATCACAGAGGCAACAACAGCCTCCTGAGAAAGTTCTCAGAACCCATACCCTCTGACCAATTTTGATTTTTTTCATTGTTCTTAGGTCCATTCAAAATCCAGTCTCTTTATTCGAGACCATGTGTACCACACGCATGATTAAAACCAATTATTTAAAGGAAAGTGAACCTGTATATAAATAAATAAAAACTAAACAGGAGAGACATGCATATATGTCTACATAAACACTTTTTTTTTTTTTTTTGTCAACTCATATTTGTTTATTTAGAAATATTACATTCTGTCACATCAAGGACATTTATAATAGTGATCAGAGAAAGCACACTCACACTCTAATAAACACATAAACATAAACACTTAATTATCAGATTAATATCAAACTCTTAAAAGAGTTAAAATGTAAAATTAATATAATTGGTAAATGGTTGACTGTCATGGATAATGAAGAGAAGAATAGTTGGGGTGGTCAGTCAAAAAAGAAGGCAAAAATAAATGATAATATTTATTTTTACATATGCCGACGTTTGGACCTGAAGTTCAGGCCATCATCAGGGCTAAGAAAAAATAAAAGAAATAAAGAAAATAAAATAAAAGTAAAAATAAAATAAATAAATAAAAAAAAAATAAAAAAAAATAATAATAAAATAAAAATAAAAGAAGCTTGTTATCTGTTTCTTTTCTTAGCTTGATGATGGCCTGAACTTCAGGTCGAAACGTCGGCATATGTAAAAATAAATATTATCGTAAAATTAATATAATCTAAAAACATTAAAATCTATTAAATCAATTAGTTAAAAATAATTTAAAATATAAAATCAATAGAATCCAAGTTTTACTATAAAAAGTTAATCAATAAGTTAAAATCTATCTTAAAACTAAGCTAAAATATAAAATGAAGTTAAAATCTATAGAATCTATTGCTTAAAATTAAGTTAAAAATAAATAATGGTAAAAAAGTTAAAAGCAAATTAAAATAAACAATTAATATAATCTGAGTTAAACAATAAAAGATTAATAAATAAGTTAACAATTAAGAACAAGTTAAAATATACAATTAATAAAATCTAAGTTAAATAGTAATAGATTAATAAATAAGTTAATGAATAAAAACAAGTTAAAATCTATAAAATATATTGTTAAGAATTAAATACACATATCCACGCCCACTGAAGAAATAATAAATAAAATTGAATAAATAAATCAATTGGTAAAGCTGAATAATTTTTAAAAATAATAATTAATTAATTTTAATAATTGAGCTAACAAGTAATCAACAAAGCTAACAAATTTTTATTCGAAAGCAAAAACATTTTTTAAACCTATTACAGTAAGTATGTATATTTTTATTTTTTTTCTTAAATAACAGAGGAGAGAGAAAATAAAAAAATAATAGAACAAAGGATAAGATTAATTGACTTAACAACAAAATAGGTTGGGCTTTTTCGATGATAGCTGTTGGTATTGATAAGGTTACACTGACCTTGCTGGCGGCGTCTGCTGAGAAGTGGTGGGAGCCGACAAGTCCTAAGCTGCACAGCGATAAGAACCCCGGTCCTACAAGCACACTGATTCCTTTGCCTTCTGATCCTGGCGAAGATCTTTGCTTGATTTTCTCCAAATTCAAGAAGCAGGTCTCCAGCATACGGCTTCACTCATGTGTTAATTCTTAGCTCGATTGGGTGAATAAAACCCTATTAAAAGGGAAACCGCCTTGGAGCCAATGTGTCTTTGTTACCGGCTCAAGCCAAACTCCTAACATTACAACATTCGCAGTGTCGAAAAAGTTCATTGAAACTAAAACTGACAATCAACACATTGAACTGTGAGATAAAAGGATTTATAGGGATGAAGAATAATTCATACTCTGGCTAAAGCAGCCATCGCCGTTCGTAACATTAGAAACTTTGATTTCATTGTCAAGTAGCCTAGTTGCTATTAACCTTGATTGCTATATACCAAAAGAGATTAGTGAAAATTCATTAGACAAAATGATTAAACCTGGTGAAACATTTGGTACTTGGAAGTTCAAACAATTGAAAATGACAATGTTTAATTTCACTAAAGAAAAATTTGAATATGAGGGTATTAAAACAATAATTGCTGTAGATAATTTCAATGGGCTGATTGTTGAAACAGCCGTTATCAAGTTTCATCAGAATAAGAAAGTGGCCACCGTTAGCCAAGACATCGATCTCCTTATGATGATGATTGATCTTGCTTCGAATACAAAGACATCCGATTCTTAAGGATCTCAGGGAAACAGAAAAGAAAGGGTATACAGTTTTCGCATTTGCAATCTTTGAAGGTTTTGAGGAACTTTAAAGAATCTCCACTGTTTGCATATATCTTCAGTGGCTGTAATCCTACTTTTGGTTTTTTGAAAAAAAAAAATGAAAGTCACAAACGATAATCTTACTTAAAAAGAGGAAGGATTAGGAAGACATTATACGGTTGTTCAATAATCTATGTTAGACAAAACCAGGAATTGCAAATGCTATTTTGTTCATTAAAAAAAAATATATATGCTTTACAATTTTTTCTCTATTCAATTTTATCCTAAAACCAACCAATTTTCAGATATTTGCCTTGAAAAACCATATTTTATTCATTTTTAGTTTAGTGCTTCAAAACTTCTTTTTTTTTTTTTTTTCTTTTTTTTTTTATGCCAAAGTCGTTGGTCATTTGGCCATCCAACATCTTGCTGCCCAGTATAATTTAGATCTTTTAATATATATATATATATATATATATATATATATATATATATATTTAAAAATGTTTTTTCTCTTATGTCCGTTAAGGCAGGACATGTGTCTTGATGGTCTGCATTCATTGTTCTTTGATGACACAAGTGCTTCAAAACTTTTATCAATTTCGAAAACTGTTTTCTCAAACCCAGTCATGTTTAACTCTAAGATCAAGCTTTTGACATTGGCATTTCAATATCTGATTATATGATATGTTGCTGAGTTAGTTAGATATTGTATATTTGGGAATAATTAATAATAATAGATAGTGCCGTCAATTCATTTACAACCACAATCCAACAAGTTGCCTGGACTGCTTCTTCTGGAAAAGATTCTCCTACAATTCCTAAAAAGACCATTCTACCTCAATACCTCCTTGACCTAATCCACATCAAATGCCGTACTAGATTAATATGGCAATGTACTAGACATCCCACCTACCACAGCTCCTATAATTATTACTGTAAAAAATTAAAACTGGAATTAGCCACATTCAGATCACAATCCTTTAACTTCTACTTATCCTCCCTCTCTGCTCGTGACTATTCCCTTTGGAAAACCACCACAAAACTTCTAAACCCTCACCAGTGTTTCAGCTGCCTCCCGCAGTGCTACATCCTACGCCCTGAAGATGACCTGCAAAGTGGGTCGTAACATCGGCAAAATTAAAATAAAATAATTACTATATTTTAATTTAGTATTTATCTGACCGCACCCCCGACTAACTCCTTCTCAGATTATTATTTTTCTTTACTATTTATTATGAATGGAGTGTGAATGTGCTCTTTGAACACTATAAATGTCCTTAATTGTGACAGATTGTAATATCTCTCAATAAATATGTTTAAGGCTGTAAAAATAAGTCATTTAAAGAAATAATGTATATTACTTAATTTAAAAAACAAGTTTTAGTAAAAGAACACCATTTACCAAAAGAAATATTCAATAGAAATCCCATAAATTTTGAAGAAAAAAAACTATATTTTTTTGTTTTATCTACCAAGTATTTTCACCTCTGTGTAACAAATGTTATTTGTTATAGGTCTTTGCATTCTTTGAAAAATATTTTTTAAGAAAATATTGAAGAATACTTCCCAAGTTATCATGAACAGCTCTTGATAGTGCTTTATAGAATAGTTCTGTAAGAGTGCTAGGATCTAAGTTCTACCACCATACTCATTACTTAAGTTGGTCCCAAAGGTGTTATATTAGACCCAAAATAGGGTATCAGTTTTTATATTTAATTTCTTTCAAATAAAGGGTTTCCTTTTTTTGTTATTAATTTCTTTCAAAATGTTGAAGTAATAACAACCATTCTGTCACTGTCAACCAGCTATTCATAAATTTGTTGTTTATATTTGTTGCTATTTTATTTTTGATCTGTTGGAAAATATGATAAGTGTATATCCAATACAAAATATCTATAAGTGTATACACATTGAAAAGGAAAGGCATAATATTGTTATTACAATCCAGGGATGAAGCTTAAAAACTATTTCAAAATAGTATTTTCCAGGGCTTGAAACAGAAATAAAAATTTTATTTTTAAAAAGTTTCAGTATGTCTGGAATTTTTATTGTCTAAAGTTTTCAGTTCTTTTGGAACCAGGTCCTTTTCCCTTCCAACTTTTCAAGTTAGGATTTTCCATAAGTGGCGCGACATTCCGTCATCAAGACTGGACCTCCTCCGAAAGTCTCCGGTAGTTTGTTCGGTCGTTTGCTGTAGCTCTCTAGTTTTGGACATCAAGAAGTGCCCGAGCGTCCGCAGTCCATCCATCGCATGTTTGGTCGTCCAAATCCACAAAGAGATGATGGGTTACAATTTTATACTCTTTGAATTTTTCTAATATCAATACGTGGATCAATCTCAATGTGGAGCGGCAGATAATACCATATGTCCACCCCTCAGGTATTCTTTCTTCTTGCCAAATAGAGAGGATGAGATTGTGAAGATCCTTATTGAAGTCAGGTCCACCATACTGTAATAGCTCTGCTTGAATGACGTCCTGTCCTGGCACCTTATTATTCTTCAGTTTTGCAATGGCTGTTTCAACCAAGTTTTCATCAGGTGGCTCCACATCATCCTGCGTGTCTTCTTCTCTGCCTGTTTCAGCACCCTCCTCCACATCTTTTTGGAGTATCTTCTTGAAGTGAGAAGCCCATCACTCCATCAAAGATGTTCTGTTTTTCTGATAGAAGATATCCTTCTTCGTCCATGCATGATGTCGCTATTGGTTTGCATGCAGTTCGTCCCTCATTCACCCGTTGAAAAAAGAGTCGACTCTTTTGTGAAATTCTGAGGGATTCAATCTCTTCCATCATATCGTTCTCCCACATTCCCTTTTTTCTCCGATGAACTCTCTTCTCTCTCCTTCTATCTCAGTAACATTCCTGTGTACCCCTTGTATGCTGCTGCATCATCTTTCTATATGCCTCATTTTTCTTGACAGTGGCAGTTAAGCAATCATCTTCAAACCAGAGGGGACTGGTGCTGCGTGTTTTGTGGCCTAGCATTTCTTCAGCTGCCGTCTTCAGAACTTGGGATATTCCCGTCCAGTGCTCATCAGATGTGTCGTTTCTGCTCCTCAATTCTTACGCAAGCTGTATTCTGAGGTTCTTCTGATAAGCTCCATATACATCCACATTCTTTAGCTTGGAGACATTGAATTTTTTCTGCATCAGCCTTGTTACTCTTAGCTAAGATCCTTGTACGTCTCCTGGGATAATGATCCGTATCTGCATTGGCTCCTCAGTAAGTTCTGACTCCAATGAGGTTAGACTTGTGTCAAGAACTAATCAGAATATGGTCGATCTGATTAGGGATGGCTCCATTTGGTGATCTTCACATAACTTTGTGTATTCTCTTTCCTGAGAACATGGTGCTTCCTACAAATAGGCCTTGAGAATTTGTAAAGCCAATCAGCCTTTGAACATTATTGTTAGTTAACTTATGCAGGCTGAAAGCTCCTGTTGTCAGATGGTACATATGTTCCTGGCCTATTGGGCGTTTAGATCTCCCAGAACTATCTTAGCATCGTTAGCAGGACAAGCCGCAAAAACTCTCACGAGAAGCCATCTTTAACTTCCTCTGGTGATGCCACAGTAGGTGCATGGTGGTTGATGAAAGAGGTATTAAAGAATTTCCCTTTAAGGCGGATATAGCATAGTCGAGGAGAGATGGGTGTAAATTTTAAGACCATTTGACGGGCTTTTCCTCTTACAATAAATCCAGTACCAAAAGTATACTGGTTTCATGGCAGCTGTAGTACAGGGTGTGATATTTCTTTTCAAGTGTACCACTTCCAAGTCAGCAAACTTCCTGGATCGCTGCCATGCCAATGTGGTAATCGTCAATAATATTAAGGAGCACCCGAAGGGCTCCTATTCGGTACAGAGGTAAAATATTCCAATCGGCTACAAGTAGGTCAGTTTGGCTGTTCCTGGTCTTATTCCTTTGAGACGATCTGGCTTCAATACTTTTGGAAGTTTTCGTGAGAATTATTTTTAAAAGGAGTAGATTATCAGCCTATTGCTCCTGAGTCAGGTGAAGGGGCTGCCTCCTCAGAACGTCCTGACACACTCCTCCTTCTGGGGTGGCTACCTAGGGGAAATGATCCTAGGGTGTGTACAGTATACATCTACAGTAGATGACCTTAGTTAAAGTTTTACAGAACTTTTATTTTTTTAAAACTTTTATTTGAGTGTCCTGTCAATTTCACTAAAAAGTCAATCTTAAAAATTACTTTTATTCATAGCTACTCAAACAAATGACACATTGAAATGATATGTAATTCATTTATAGCAAATTATAACTCTAATCTAAGCCAATTTCAGTTAACAGAACTTTTGTTAAGAACGTTAACAAATAAAAGTAAAGCTTTTACCATAAACCTGGAACTTTATTACATAGAAGCTCCTTAAAACTTTTATTTTAAGAAATTTTTTCCTTAAAAGTTAAACAGAAACTGTTAAAATAGAACTTTTTAAAAAAGTTCTATAAAAGTTTCAACCCTTGGTATTTTCATTGTTTATAGGGAGTGCAATAGAGAAGCTCTGTGAATCTGCTGGAGAAGACTGTTTACGAGAACGTAGTGCTGTTGTTCGTGCTGCTAGAAATCTTTTAACTTCTGTCACTAGAGTGCTCTTATTAGCAGATGTAGTAGTTGTCAGACAACTGTTGCTTGCAAAAGACAAGGTTAACTAATCATTATTAGTTTCATTTAATGGATCTACATCCTAAATTAATTTATGTAATTTTATTCTTATGAAAATTTAAGGTAGCTCGAAGCCTTGGTCGTTTGGAAGGAGTTTCGAACTTTACTGAGTTTGTTAAGGCATTTTCACAATTTGGATTGGAGATGGTTGAGTTGGCACATCTGACTGGAGATAGGCAGAATGACATGAAAGATGAAAGACGTAGAGCACAAATGGCAGCGGCTAGGCAAGTTTTAGAAAGATCCACCATGTTACTGCTTACAAGTTCAAAAGTAAGTAATCTTCTTTTAGGTCAATGGTTTGAGATTATTACAAATAGGCAGTGTTAGAAGTAATTTTTTAAGTGTTTATAGATTTTCAGATTATTGTAAATTGAATCTTTTATATAAGGACCATCAAAGTAAAGTGGTGTAAGTACATTTCATGAAAAAATAGAGATAAGTGCATGGCTGATCTGAAAAGATGTCAATCTTCTTCATAATTAAGATATAGATGTGTTTCGTTCACCAAGTGCTACCTTAATAGCCCTGGAGCAAGGGCCCAAAAAGTGACCACATCGATGTTTTAAATTTTAATTACAAAAGTGTATGTTATTCTAATTAAAATAATCCTTGTCTACAATTCCAGAGCCACTGTTTTCAAAAATACCTACATTAAAAATGTTAGTACTCAGTGGATGTAGAAGTTGTTGCTCTAAAACTTTGGTTCTATGAGTTTCTTTTCTTAGAGAACTCATTTCCAAGCTGCAAGGAAATTAATATTTTTTTCAATCTTCTAAATAATGATTAATTTGTTGATAATTCCCTAAGAAATTTACTGATTGATGTTATTTCATTCATTATTCAATAAAAATTATTTATGTAGTAGAAATAAATTCCTTCAATAATTAATAATTTCATAAATATTTATCATTTTTCTTTTTTGGTAATAAACTTATGACTACCTTTTAAAAATATTATTGCTTTTAAGACAACATGCTCGCCTATTGATCTATTTTAACTTATTGGTTCCCTCAATATATCAATGAGGGTTCATTATTATATCATGAGAAGCCCATTTCATGAGAATACTGATGATTTTAATATCACACGTTCACGAATTGACTAATTTTAAGTATTAAATTTAAGATAGTGGTCCTACACTAACAATGCTACTTTGTTGTCAAGTAAACTAACAATATGATATTTTGTTATTTTACTATTGATTTGAAAAATAATAAATTAAGACCCTACCTGCAGGAACCCTGTATTAACATTCTTTTGTTGCAAGAATGGTGGAATTTTTATCACTATCTTCTGTTGATATGAAACTACTTGTTTATTTCCAACCAGCATTGTTGATGTGACTCTCAGGGTCACCTGTTTGGAATAGAAATAAGAACAAAACAGTTCAAAATAACAACTAATTATATTGATATATAAAGCAAGAGATATAATCGCAGTACAGTTATACCTTTAGTAGGTTAAAACTTCTTCAGTTTTTGCCATGGCTTTGTGGATAGAATAGGCAATAAATAAACTCCAAGCTCAAAAATTCATTGCATCAAATTATACCTAATCTTTCTGAAAATTATTGATTTTTTCTTCTTTACTTTGCTTTGGCTGCTATGGTAGCCTGATGACAAATTATTTACTATCTTATAGTAAATTCATCATAGATTCAGAATATAGTGAACAAAGTTATGAAATGTTCATTTATGTTAGAAAAAATTGAATTTGTTGTGGGAAAATGTGGTTTTCTTGCAAAAACCTTTAAAATAGGATATCTTGGCAATAGAGTTCAATATCAATTAGCAATTAGCAACACAGAACTACAGTTTTGGTAAACTATTTTGCCCTTAATTACTGATATTTTCTCCTGAAATAACCTTTATAAAGATGTAAGTTTTCATAAAATAATTTATAATTTTCTTTATGATCATTATTGTTTACTTAAGGGACTCATTTCTTTTCTTTTTTAGACTTGTTTACGCCACCCTGACAGCTCAGCTTGTCGTGAAAACCGTGATACTGTTTTCTGTCAGATGAGACGTGCCATGGATCTGATTCATTTTGTTGTAAAAGATGGTGTTTTTGAAGGAGAAATGGCTGAGGATTGGGATGCTGGAAAAACTGTATATTCTGCAATAAAGCAATATGAATCTTTGGTGGAGATGACTCGCCTTACTTTTGTTTCTGGTCAAAATAAAGATTCTCTTTTGTCTGCTCTTGACACTATAGTGGAGAGAACACAAGACTTTACTGATTCTGCTTACACTAGTCATGAACACCGAGAAAACATTTTATTACTCTGTGATAGAGCCAAATTGCAGTTAAACCAACTTTTGAGAACTGGGTTATGTTTGGTTAGTCAAATTTAATTTAATTATAACTCTACTCTTTTTTTTAAATTGTATAATGATTATGAGTTAACCCATGTTAATTAAATAAATCACCTTGAAAGGTGCATTATGGATTGTATAGTACTAATAATTCACCTAGTTATTTTATTTTGCAATTTGTACTATTACTATTTGTATGTTTTTACTATAATTTAAAAAAAAAAGAATAGGAAGTTAATAAAATTTTAATATGCTTAAATCAATTTTCATTTTCAAATAAAATTGCTGCCTTGTTTATTGATGTTATAATGAGGTATACGTTGTTCAACTATATCTAATCTGTCATGGGTCTCAATTTTAAGGATTAAAAAAGGTCAGGTTTATTGAGTTTGCTGATGTTTTGACCCACATATTGTCCAAATATGTTTTAGATTAGACATTATAATTAAGACATTAAGATCCACTAAACGTCCATGAACTCCATAAACATATTTTTTTTTACTGCACATCCTGTCCATTTTCCATCCTTACAATTTCAACTTACTTAGTTATTCCCCAGCATTACAGTTTTGGTAGATCCTTGGCCTCCTAAATAAGCTTCTGCCTCTTGTTTCTATCTTCCACCTTTCTCATCCAGTTGTGGATTCCCAGTCTTTTTCTATCTCATCCCACCATCTACTTCTAGGTCTTCCTTTTCTTCTTTTGCTCATGAAATTGGTCTCCAGCAATCGTGTTTGCAGTCTATCTTCTATATGGGAAATCCTCTCTCTTGCAATTCCAAACAACTATTCTCCCTGACAAACAATGATCTTCTAAGATGGTAAAACTATTACTGGGTTTTACCCACTCGAGCCAGGCTAGGATATCTTCTCTTCACTGCAGTCACACAACAACTGTCCGCCAAAACAAAAACCTTTGTCACTCTCATCTTTGGGATTTTCCTTCTTGGGAAACTACAGAGCAGCCATTTTTTTTCCCCTGCACTAGTAGAACTAGATTAGCGCTTGCCTTTTAACTGTTCAACATTAATTTATTAAAACCTTTTTACTCACTTCCAATAAAGGTGTACATTACAATATATAGCATTTCCAAGTCAATTTCAACCTTTTCCAAGTCAAATTCAACCTTTTCCAAATCAAATTAAACTTTTTCCAAGTCAAATTCAACCTTTTCCATTTCAAATTAAACCTTTTCCATTTCAAATTCAACCTTTTTTATTTATTTAATTATCTTTAATTTTTCGATGTGTGGGTTGTTATCGCATGAGTAGTTTTTGAAAATAATCTCCTTTTTAAGATTACGTGACTGCGTTTCGAATTATTTAAGGTTTTTTGACTTATTCGCTATAAGGGTGTATTTTTATGTTTCCCGATCAGTAAATTTTGAAAATGACTTCCATTTTATGTTTACGCCACTGTGTTTTGATTTATTTAAGGTTTTAGAATTTATCCAATATAAAAATCTACTTTTATGTTTCCGGAGACGTAGATTTTGAAAACGACCTCCATTTTAAGATTAGGCCACCGTGTTTCGACTTATTTGAGTTTTTTGGATATTTTTCATATGAGGGTGTATTTTTATGTTTCCGGAGCTGTAGATTTTGAAAATGACCTCTATTTTAAGATTACGCCACTGCGTTTTGACTTATTTAAGTTTTTTTGATTTATTCGTTGTAAGGGTATGTTTTTATGTTTCCGGAGCTGTAGATTTTGAAAATGACCTTCACTTTATGATTGCGCCGCTGCGTTTTGACTTATTTAAGTTTTTGAATTTATTCAATATTAAGGTCTACTTTTATGTTTCTTGAGCCCTAGATTTTGAAAATGACCTCCATTTCATGATTACGCCATTGCATTTTGACTTATTTAAGTTTTTTTGATTTATTCGTTGTAAGGGTATGTTTTTATGTTTCCGGAGCTGTAGATTTTGAAAATGACCTTCACTTTATGATTGCGCCGCTGCGTTTTGACTTATTTAAGTTTTTGAATTTATTCAATATTAAGGTCTACTTTTATGTTTCTTGAGCCCTAGATTTTGAAAATGACCTCCATTTCATGATTACGCCATTGCATTTTGACTTATTTAAGTTTTTTTGATTTATTCGTTGTAAGGGTATATTTTTATGTTTCCGGAGCTGTAGATTTTGAAAATGACCTCCATTTTATGATTAGCGCCGCTGCGTTTTGACTTATTTAAGTTTTTCGAATTTTTATCATATTAAGGTCTACTTTTATGTTTCCTGAGCCCTAGATTTTGAAAATGACCTCCATTTCATGATTACGCCATTGCATTTTGACTTATTTAAGTTTTTCGAATTTATCCAATCATAAAGACCAAAAGTAGACCTTTAACTACTTTTATGTTTTCGGAACCGTAGATTCTGAAAATGACCTATATTTTATGATTACACCACTGCGTTTCAACTTATTTAAGTTTTTAGAATTTATCAAGTATAAAGGTCTACTTTTATGTTTCTGGAGCAGTAGATTTCCCCCATTTTGTAAATGACCCATTTCAAGTTTATGCCACTGTGTTTTGGATTATAAAAGTTGTTTTTTTTACTTTTTCGGTATAAGGATCTACTTATATGTTATCGGAGACGTATTGAAATTTTTCTAATCTTTAATCTTTAAATTTATCTAATATTTAATCTCCATTTTATGATTAAGCCGCTGCATCTCGATTAATTAGGCTTCATTTTGGATTTTTTCAATACAAAGTTTCATTAATATGTTTTTGAGTATGAATAAATACATATTATGAAGCTAAAGTTAAATTAACCACAGAATACAAACTAAAAAGCCGAAAAGCAACTGGTAATAAATTTAACCTTCCGCATTCAGATTTTTCAGCTAATTGTTCGAAATCTTATAATTTTGTTACAGGAGACCACAACATTAAAAAAGATAACTAAAATAATTAAAAATGAGACAATACATATTTTATTTATTTTGATTAGATATTTTTATTTATTTATTGAAAAATAAATTAATCCTTCGTATTTTGTTTTTATTCGAAGGAAAAATCAAAAACACTTAAAAAAACCGAAACACAGTGGCCGAATCATAAAATGTAAGTCGTTTTAAAAACTAAGGCTCCGGCATCATAAAAGTAGACCTTTAAATTGGATAAATTCGAAAAACTTGAATAAGCCAAAACACAGTGGCGTAATCTTAAAATGGAGGTCATTTTCAAAATCTACGACTCCGGAAACATAAGAATACACTCTTTTATGATAAAAATTCGAAACACTTAAAGAAATCGAAATGCGGTGGCCTAATCTTAAAATGGAGGTTGTTTTCAAAATCTACAGCTCCGGAAACATAAGAATACATCCTCATTTGAAAAAAATCCGAAAAACTCAAAGAAATCGAAACGCGGTGGTCTAATCTTAAAATGGAGGTCGTTTTCAAAATCTACGGCTCCGGAAACATAAGAATACACCCTCATATGAAAAAAATCCGAAAAACTCAAATAAGTCGAAACGCGGTGGCCTAATCTTAAAATGGAGGTCGTTTTCAAAATCTACGGCTCCGGAAACATAAAAGTAGACCTTTATATTGAATAAATTCTAAAAACTTAAATAAGTCAAAACACAGTGGCGTAAACATAAAATGGATATCATTTTCAAAATTTACTGATCGGGAAACATAAAAATACACCCTTATATCGAATAAGTCTAAAAAAACTTAAATGATTCGAAATGCAGTGACATACTTAAAATGGATGTTATTTTCAATACTAGGTACAGGACAGCATAATACTAGTCCCTAATAAATCCGAATAGGTACAATAAATCGATATCCGTAAGTGAAAATTCTACTTAGGAGAGCATAATAATAGACTTTCATATTGGAGGGGGGAGGGGATGGCCATTATTTTTAAAAAATATATATAATTTACAAAAAATTAAAACATTAAAATTTGAAATGAAAACGGTTGAATTTGAATTGGAAAAGGTTTAATTTGAAATGGAAATAGTTGAATTTGACTTGGAAAAAGTTTAATTTGATCTGGAAAAGGTTGAATTTGACTTGGAAATAATTGAATATGACATAGAAATATCACACTGAAAAAATCTAAAATGTTAAAATAAATGGATATGCAACCGCGTTATCAAAATTTTTTTTGTATTTTTCAAAAGCTATGCCTTCGATAATATAGTAAGTGGCCTTCATTTCGAAAAAAATCGAAAATTGACAAAAATTCGAAAGTTGAATTTGAAATGGAAAAGGTTGAATTTGACTTGGAAAAGGTTGAATTTGAAATGGAAAAGGTTTAATTTGACTTGGAAAAGGTTGAATTTGATTTGGAAAAGGTTGAAATTGACTTGGAAATGCTATATATATATATATATGTCTTCCACCACTACGATGAGTTAGGGTGGATATTCCCTTCCTCCCCTCTACAATATTTCTTAGGCATATTTCTTTATCAGATTATCAACAGTCATCGTCCCTCCTATGCTTATGTTCTTCTACAATTCAAGTCCTCTGTCCACTCACTTATCACTAGATCCCAATCTTTATACCCCTTTTAACAGATCTGTCTCTTTTCAAACCTCCTTCATTACCCGCTCCACTAATTTCTGGTATTCCCTCCCTTTAAAAATCCGCCATGCTTCCTCCTTATTCACCTTTAAAACCCTCCTAGTCCAATTCATATTTATAAAACAGTCAGAAAATAGCTAACCATGAGTTAAGTTTCAGTGCCTTGTTTAAAAAATTAATGCTTTCTATACATGTGTGTATTTGTATATATATATATAGAAGATATTAGAAGATCTCCTTCTCTATTTTGTGTATATTGATAAATTTGCTCTTTTGTCATTTTTTACATTATTTTAACTTTTTCTTCTCTTATACGTTGTCAGTATGTTTTGATAGATTTTACAATATCTCAATTTTCTATTTATGTCTATTATTTCCTCATATAACTTCATATTCCTTTTCTCTATTTTACATTTTTTTTTTTAAGATTATCTAAATCCCTTTTAGCATACTATTACATCATATTTTAGCAACTATGTCACCCCATTTATATTTTGTTTTTTTCTACACTTACATTTATTATCTTATACATTCCACTACTTTTTGTTGTTAGTTCATTTTTCATTTCTTATGTTACCTTTTTTTTTATTATGTTTGTTTCATTAGTCCCTACTTTGTTGCTGTTATTATTTATTTATTAATTCTCTGTTACTGTTATTATTCCACCTACTTTATTTTTCTTTAATGTTCACTCTATCTACTTTAAGTTTATTCTACTTTTTTTTTTTAATTTTAATTCTTTATTATTCAATGTTTATAGTTTCTCATACCTATTGTTATCATTTTTTTTCTTAGCCCTGATAAAGGCCTGAACGTTGGACTGAAAGGTCGGCAAATGTAAAAATAAATATAATTATTTATTTTAACTATTTTTTTGACTGATCACACCAACCATTCTTCTCTTACATTAATTATACTATTTTGCCACCTATGTTGTATCAAGACGTGATAAATTTGATTTCTTATTCGTGAATCCAGTGATGTATATTTGTGAATATTCTTATGTTTTAACATAGTACTTTTAATTATTAGGCTTTTAGAGATGGCAATATTTATCAGCCGAATTCCGTTATCATTACTATAGTCGTGTAAGCTTTCTTTACCGATCGTCAGAAAATAAACCTCTTCCCTTCCCAGCTCTGCAATAGTGTCTCCTAAAATTATTTTCATGCAGCTTCATGGTAGTTTATTATAAACCCACTCCAGTTTATCATAACATTTGAATTTGACTTCATCACTATTTTTATTTTTTATTTTTAATTCTCTTTGTTTTAAATTTCTAAATGTTTATTGCAAAATCTCTCATCATTAGAAGTATAAAACTTTAGTTATATGTAAATGTTAATTTTTTGAGAATAAAAATAATATTACAGATATGTAATATATCATTGGAAAGCTAAAGATTTTAAAGAAATTTATATCTAAAATACACTGCCATTAAAGGTAATGAAGTGGCAAAAATACATAAATTTAACGGATTAAACTGTTAGGAATAACCAATAATTAATTTTTTTAAATGAATATGTTGTACCATCTACAATATTTACTTTCACTTACCTATTATAGACATATTTATTACTATATATTAAGTAGATTTAGTTAATACAAAAAAAAAAAAAACTCAAGTTTTCATGTGAAAAACAAGTTTCTACAATTTTTGGAATGGTATTAGATGCAATTGCTTTTGTCATATCGGATTTCTTTTGTCGGATTGTCATATCTTCTGCATTTATTTATTATTTCCTATAATTATTATCATTACTTAATTATATGTTTTCATTTTATTCAGGAACAGGCTGAAGGTTATTCACCTACTGAAGAATTGGAATGTGCTGTACAAAATTGTCTATCTGCTACCAGAGATCTCTTTAATCAATTAGTTTCTACTACAAGGGAACAAACCTCTGATCTCTTAAACATTACTAAAGCTGGATCTCAACTTGTGTCAGTTATAACAAATTCAGCACTTGCATGTGATGAGATTCGTACTCAACATAGTGCTCAATGCTTTAATCAACATATTGAGCATATTGTTGAGGTATAGTTGCTTAAGTTATATGTTAGATAAAATTAATTGAGTAAGGAGGCTTAGCCAAAATTATAAGTAGGAATTTAATATTTCACTATATTTTATTATGAAGTGCCACTCTCAATGAATTAATATTTGGCTCATTTTTCATGATAAAGTGTCATCCACTTTGAATTAAAGCGATCCCTGATATAAGTAGATTCATCTGAAAAACTTCTTCAAAAGTTCATATTGATTAATTTGAGATTTGTCACAGAATAAGTTGAGTTTTGCTGCCATTTTTGTAAGAAAATTTGTGTTATATGAAATTCGGTATCCCCCTTAGGGTTCCTACCAGTGCTTTCAGCAAAAATAATTACAATTAATCATTACAAACCTTTTATTTTATTTATTTTTTTAGATTCTGATGTAAGATCCTTTGTATTAAATTATATACTAAACTACACTTTTTATTTTATTTAATCTCTGACATAAGAGTGCACCGCGGCCTCAAAAAGGCCTAATGTGTGTCTTCCTTGACTCAATTATAACAGGCCAGATGCCTTTGCGAACCTATTGATACTAATAGGATCAATCAGTTTGCAGTGTTTAGGGTCAATAATACGATCATATCTAAAGTGAAAGTATCGCAGTCTAGCCAAATTATCACATCTACAAATAATGTGATAAGCCGTTTCATCCTCCAGGCCACATAGCCTGCAGGTGGGGGTCTCACTTACACCCAAATTGAAAAGGTGCTTATTTAATTGACAGTGACCAGTATACAGTCCTGTCACACGCCTAATGGTACTCCTGTCCATTAGAAGAAGTGAATTACTTCACTTATGACAGAGCCCTACTAGGAATATCTTGGAATGAGTTTGTTTACAAGTCTGTTCCCAGTGTAGCATAAATTTATTGCCCACAATTGCCTTAATATGCCTTTTGGCTTATCCCACAAATAGGCTCTGCAACAATCGGCACTTGTGCAGAGCCTTTCCTAGCAAGGTAATCGGCTTTCTCATTTCCTGGAATGCCTGACTGTCCAGGTACCCATTCTACTCTCATCTTGTTAATACTACAAAGTAGGTTAAGATTGCCTTTACATTCATCCACCAACTTTGAGCGACTTGCATAACGATTCAGGGCCCCAATTGCCGCTTGACTATCTATATATATTGTTATCAATCTATTCACAACGTTAAAATCGATGGCTAAAATCTCGGCTTGAAAGATGGACGTATATCTACCTAGAGATATGAATATTCCCTCATTAGATTTAACCTTTCTCTAGTTGCCAGTCCCTGATCCCTGCTTCATTAAGGAGCCGCCAATATAACAGTTAACTCTATTACATGGAATATGTGAGTTATTCCTGCTTATGTTCAAACTAAATAGTATATCTTTGTAATTATCAACTTAAAGGTCAGAGTTCATTGCAAGTTCCTCTTTGTTATCAATTACTATCAAATACGATCCCATGGCCCTGAAACGTCAAGAATTTCAATCTTGTTCCCAGTTTATCCAATCTATAGGCAGTTCTGAGAGCATGTGCTTCCACTTCTATATGCAATGGTGTCAGATTCAAGAGAACCTCTATTGCTGTAGTGGGAGTAATGATCATAGCTCCCGTCGTCATAAGGCATGCAAGCCTTTGAAGCTTGCCAAGCAGAGTTCTAGGCCTGCTTGCAGCTGCCCTATGCCAACACATTACAGTTGCATAGAGGATTAAGGGTATAATCGCAGTTCTGTATAGCCATAAGGCCATGCTGGGTTTCATCCCCCGCGATTTGCCAACAACTCTTCTGCATGCCCAAAAACACCTTACCACCAATCTTTTCAATGAGATTTAGCCAGTTTAACTTACTATTTAAAGTAATCCCAAGATGTTTTACTTCACTACAAATAATTAATGTTGACCCATTTAATGATGGTGGTCTAATGTTAATATTTCTTCTGTTAGTGAAGATATAGAGATTTATCTTTTGTGGGTGGGTTTATGCCAAGGCCATTTTCTTGGCACTATTCTTTCAGAAGTCTCATAGTATTTTCGAGCAGTTCAGAGATAGTATCTGAAATCTTGTCCCCTATGAATACAGCAATATTGTCAGCTCAGGGAGTCAACGTCCAAATACCACAAGAGTGGAAGCAACACACTCCCCTGTGGACTCTCTGCAACGGGTTTAAACCACAGTACAGATAGTCCCAATTCAGATTTAAGGACTCTTCCCCTCAGAACCGAATTAATCTATTCTGAAGCCATGAGTCCGACTCCTCTACTTTCCAATGCTCTAGCCATTGTGTCATATGGGGTACGATCAAAGGCACCTTCAATATCAACAAAGATACCTGCCATAATCTCTTACTGCTATAAGCTTTTTTTGATTCTAGAGATTAAATAATGCAACGCTGTCTCACATGATTTGCCGGCTTGATAGGCAAATTGGGCACAGTGTAGCGGTCTTTCTACTAATGTAGAGTCCCTAATGTGTCTATCCATGATCTTTTCCAATGCCTTCAACAGAAAAGAAGTCTGACATATAGGTCTGTCATAACACTCTTTTCCAGGTTTAGGTATATAGCAAACTCTTGCTTCCCTCCACTTATTAGGGATATATGCAAGTGCTAAACTACCTCTAAATAACTCCCAGAGATAGGGTTTAATTACAGGTAAGCCCTTTTGTAGCAGGGCTGGGAAAATTCCATCAGTACCAGTTGATTTGAACGTTGCAAAAGAATTAATTGCCCATTCAACAATCCTAGAATTCACAATTCTTTTGGCTTCAACCCACTTGTCTTTGCCACAGATGTGGCTATCCATAGTGGGATTAACTATATTCTCATCAAGCATTTGGCAGCCAGGAAAATGAACACTCGCCAGAGCCTCCAGAGTATCCTCTCCAGAATAAGTGTTACCTCCTTCAACCCTCAAAACATTATCATCTAAAGTGACAATGTATCACTACTTTTTACTCAGATCTTGATTATGAGAATAACAACGGGAGGTCTGTGGATCACCTATTTCAACCAAATTATTTTTGGTGATTCTACATAAATAAATATTAGAAATATTTCCCAACCTGGTGTTTGTTCCAATGGACCTTAAAAACTTATAAAAAATTTTTTTTATATAATTTCAAAAATATTTTGCTATTTTATTATGTACCAATAGATTTCTTTCTTTATTAGTTTAGTTGAGTTATATTGTATCACAAAAACCAAAAGACGGTTCTGTTTATGTTTTGAAAAATCAAATTAAATTAGATTCATTTTTAGTGCCTGTTGACCCTTAATGGCAGTGGATTCATATACATTGAAACATTTCACTGAAAGTTTCTTAAACAAGTAAGTTTTTCCACTGGACCTTTAGTCCAGTTCATCAATCAAAGGATCACAAGTCCCATAAAATGGTTTTGAAAAAGACAAATTCATGTTCCCTTTGGAAGAAATTTTGTTTACTGTTAGGCAGTAGATAATTACTTAAGTTTTTATGTTTACTTGTCACTTCCTATTTAACAAAAAACTTTATTTACTCAAAAAACACAAAAATTAAATTTACTCTTTTTCTGTGTGGGATCACGAACATTTTTGTAGCTCTTGAGGTCTATTGTCAGCTGTTTGTTTAAATATTTTATATTACTTATGGGACAACCTGTGTGTATTTATACACACACTCACATATATATATATTTATTCACACGCTTTTAATAATAAATATTTATATTATATAATATGTGTATTGGTTTTATGTCCTGTATGTATTTTTTTTTTATCATTAGATGTGCAAACTCCTGAGGCATATTGCTGCCACTGAAACTCTTCAGGTATCATCCAAGTATACAGAAATAAATGTTCGAATTTATGGTCCACAAGTAGCTATAGCAGCAACAACATTAACTCAACACCCAAATAGTAAAATCGCTAAGGAAAACTTAGAAGGTAATTATTATTAATTTAATTGCCTATTGCCTATGAGTAACATCTTAACTATTATTTTTTTTAACTTTTATCCTTTTCTTTCACAGATTCTTTTCTTAAAGATCTATTCACATGAGATATTGACACATACAATATAAATTACAGTAGCATATGAATACTAAAATTAAATTGAAGACCATACCTTAATTTTAAACTAATTTACGCAATATATAACTACATACAGTAATTACATAGCTTGTTCATCTAATTTATGTACAGGAAAAATAAGTAAAGTAGATTGATATACGAGTAATAAAATAAGCTAAGTACATTATTCATAAAAAAAAAATAATAATAATTTCCATATCTTATATACAATTAACTTACAAAATAACTGTTTAAATTATTTATATAACATTCAAAAATATTAATAACTTTTATTATAGGAATAAACAGGGAAAACACATTGGTTAATTAAAGCAATTTCTAACTTTCTTTTAGAATATGGATTTTACCAAGAATTATCAGGCCAAAACAAATTACAACTTATTAGACTTTTAAATATTATTTTCAGAAATTATATTTATATTTTAGTCGTTTAATCTACTCTAAATCACTAATTTACTCTGAGGTTCATTACCTTCTTCTGTTTATAAAATTTATGGTTAAAATCCTCATTCTATCTATACCAACAACCTAATTACACTTTTTACAATGATATCTTCACAATATATTTACAAGTTATCCAGATTGAGTAACCTAACGATGGTTTCGCCAGGACCCTCTAGCTCGTCAATGGAAGAGACGCTAATTATATCATTGCAATATTTTTTTATATATCTTATAACATGAATAACAGATTTTCCAATCTTACCAATATCTCATCCTTTTATCATCATAAAAGATTTTTTTTTAAATTTATATTTTTTTTCATAATTCATCCCTAAAAATGCAATAATTTAATGTGTTATATTCTATGATTTTTCTTGTTTCACCTATGTATGTCGATTCACAATCGTTACAATCCATCTTGTAAACAACATCTTTTTGTTTTAACTTATTTATTTTATCTTTCATCTGACTTAGGTGGTTATTTATTTCCTTGACCTAAATGTCATTTAGAATATTTTTCTAAAGCTATTGATTCAGAGTTTGCTTTTTTCTGATCGATCCCATGTTCTTCCACCTCGTCTTCCCATTTTATCATTATTCTTTCTTTTTTCCTTCTTCCTTCTAGCATTGCTGTGACTTTTCATCCTTCCCCAATTCTCCACTATAAAATGTCATTTATATATATCTTAATTAATCAGAAATATAAGTATATCCATTCCATTTTTAAAATATTTTTCTGTCAATTTTCATTATTGTTTTGTTTTTTTCTCATTTTAGTTGTACCAAAAATTAAATGATAATATTGGTAACATCATTTTCAGCTTATCTTATTTTAGCTATTTGTCTGTTTTTTATTTCATTGTTTAAACTTTTTTATGTATTATAAAATAATTATTTATTTTATGTAAGAATATACTCAATAATTTTTTTATCCATGTACAATTATGATAAGACTAAGAAAAAGAAAGGTTTCTGGAAAATTTAAAAATAGTATTTATTATTTTTAATATTTTTAAGTGATTATTAATGTATAATGTCATATTTTTAGTGTTTGCAGATATGTGGTACTCTATAATGAATGATGTTACCACTGTATGTAAAGAAGTTTTAGAAGCTGTTAAAGTGCCAGAAAAACAAACATACATGTCATTACCCAGGCCAGGAGTAAGTATTTTGTTATTGTGTATTTCATTGTTATTTTTTGTAATATATATAGTTCTATGTCCAATTACATTTTTCTAAATTTGAATACTGAAAATATATCCAATACGATTTCTTAATTGTTAACTTTTAGTAATTGTTGTTTTTTTTTCGTGATAATGGCCACATTTCTCAGAGTTCTTATTCTTCCATTTTCTCACTCATCTCTCTCTTTTGCTTGTTTTTCCATTTTTTCCCTTTTCCCCTCTTCTTTTCCACTACAAGGACCTTTATGTATTTTCTGATTTTTCTCTGTCCTGGTATTCTTTTTCTATAATATCTAGTCTTGTTATTCTTATTTTATCTGATTGGGATATCCTCTGATGTATCCAATCCCATCACTTCGTTGAATATCAGTTTTCATTCATTCTTATCATGTTCCTGAAAAATCTCGTTCTCTTTTTCCATTGCTGTTTCCAAGTCTTCAGTTCTGTTTATTTTAGGCCAGTATTATTCTCCTACTTTTCCTGGTCCGTGGATATGTTTTAGGATTTTTCTTTGTATTTTTAGTTGTTTCTCCAAACTTGTAAATTCCTTTATTTCCAACCAGTATAATATCACTGGCCTCGCCACTGTTTTAAAGTGTCTGATTTTTAGTTTTTTTCAAAATATTTTATTATTGTAGATATATTTGTTAAATTTCCCAATCTCTCCAGTTTTACTTCCCTACTTATGGTTGCCTGAGTGTCTTATTAGTTATAATTCATAATGTACCCGAAATTGTCCCAAATTTTGTCTTAATTTTCCCTGTTATTGGTTATCATTTCGTTTTTTTTTTCAAAAGATGTCTTCAGTCCCGTTTTTTTCTATTATCTCTTTTAATTTGGCCCTATTTGGCCTATTGTTCCTTGTTTTCCTTCAGCCAGTAGGGTAAGTCATCCGCAAATGCTAAAAATTTTACTTCTACTTTGCCCTTTGTCCTACCTTATTTTATCCTGAATTGTTTCTTTTCTCAAAATGTCTTCATAATTTATTAAGTTATTGTGTTTTATTAAATACTGATACTTTTTTGGAAATTTGGTTTTAGAAACATGGTACAACAACTAAACCATTGAAAGCAGTTCGTCTTGATGTGGAGGTAATTATAGTTGAATTATTGTTTTAATTTTAATGAATTAAGTTATTTGAATTTTCATAGTTCTTGTTTATAAGTAGTTTTTACAAAGAATAATAATAGTTGTTTTTTTTTTCTCAAAGTGAGAAATGGAAGGAATGAAATACATATATTAATCAATTTGTTTTTATGTGTAAAATATGAAAAACATATTGTTAATTGTGTCAAACAAATTTTAATGTATAATAAATTACAAAAACCTAAAGACGCTTCCAGTAATGTAGGTCAAGTAAATTTCTGTCATGGAAAAACAATTCAGATTTGTTTTTAGCGTCCACTTAAACTCTTCTCTTAAATTCAAGTTTGTTTTGAAATTAAAAAAATATAACTTTTTGGACTTACTTTTCTGGGAGGATTTTTTTTCGTGCTGTTAGCTGAAATATTAATAATTCCTCAGGATTTTCTCTTAAGTTAACGTTACAACCATTGGAAAGCTAAATTATGGCTCTTCAAAACCATTATTTGTATTGAAGGTTGCAAACCATATAAGTGTTCCTTAAACAGGCTCACACCATTTTTGGATAAGGACGGAGCTCTCATGGTGGGAGATAGATTGAAATATTCTACAATCAAAGAGAAAAGTAAGCACCTGTTGCTGATACCTAAAGTTTATCATTTAGCAGTCTTTTTGTGTGACCATTACCACAGGTATTCCTTGAATGGTGGGCCCCTGTTGGTCCAGTCGCTCATTCATCGCCAATTTTGGATCCCTTCTCTAAGAAGACTCGTTAGAAGCCGGATTTATAAATGTTATACGTGCCACAAAAATAATGCGAAACCACAGGCTCCAAAAATGAGTGACTTACCCTCTTTCAGGGTGATCAGGGGTCGTTCCTTTCAGTGAGTTGGAATAGACTATGGCGGCCCCTTCATTATGAAAATTTCCAGTAAACACAAAGCTCCTAAATCAAGATGTTGGTTAGCTCTCTTTGTGTGGATGTCCACCAAGGCCATCCATCTAGAACTTGCGGCGGACCTATCCACTCCTTCATTTATTGCCACATTAGATTTTGTGTCAGACACGGTTTGCCTTCTCATATTTATAGTGACTGTGGAACAAATTTCGTTGGAGCATCCAAGAAGTTGAAGGAGCTTTATCAATTTGTTAAGGGCCAGAGTGAACCCATTTCTGACTATTTGGATCGGACGGGTATAAAGTGGACCTCTACTCCTCCAGCATCTCCTCATTTCAGTGGTATTTTGGGAGGCAGCTATTAAATCCGCGAAGAGATTCCTTCTTGCCTTTCTGCAGGATCATGCGTTGACATACATATGAAGAATTTTATACTCTTCTAGTACGAGTTGAAGTCATTCTCAATCCTTGTCCTATCTATAATATTAGCAGTCAGCCTTCATATATCCTAAATTACCTCACTCCAGGACACTTTCTTATAGGTCAGCCCTTCCTAGCCAGACCAGAACAAAAAGATGCACCTTTGTTTCCTTTGGCAAGCTGTTGGGAGATGATTTCCAAGACTTCGTAATTTGTGGAAGAGATGATATAATGAGTATCTCCACAATCTGGTGCCTCACAGCAAGTGTTATACTGACAGGGAAAATTTAAAAGAGGGAACCCTTATAATTCTACATGGAAAAGCTGTTGCACTGCAGGAGTGGCGGCTTGCCATGATAACAGACACACTTCCAGGTCCTGACAGTGCAGTTAGGGTGGTAAAGTTGAGGACTGCTACAGCCACTTTGGTGCGACTGGTGCACAAGTTAGTGCCTCTCCCTTCTGGAGAAACCTTTTATTGATATGAATATTTTTTTTGCTTGAGTTTAATGTGGAGTAATTTTGTTTTTAATTAATTGTAATTTATTAACCTATCCTTGACCTGGCTAACTTTATTTCTAATTTTTCAAAAATCTATTTTGAATAATTCTCTCTTTCTTTATTGTGAACCAAGCAATTTTCCTCTCCTTTGTGCCATGCCTGGTAATCACGAATCTCTGAGTTTGGTTTTTTATTTTTATTGTTTGTGAAATCAGATATTTCACGGTGGGGGTTATGTTTGTGCAAGGGTAGTTCCCATTGCTCTCGTTATGGTGAGTGGTGGGGGCAGATCAGAAGATCTAAAAGATAAGATTTAATCCATACCACCTCAGGGTACACTCGCCTCATTCCAGCACAAGTATCCACGGAGACAACACTTGTACTTTACGGCCCTCAGGTAACCAATGTGTTAAGCTGGCATAAAAATGGTAAGCTGTTTTGGCATAATTCGTATAACCTGCCAATTAACTTACTATTACTAGTCCACTGCATAAACAAGTAGAATGTTGCATATTTTGAATTCATGAGAGTTATTTGCCTTGCCTTAATTAAAATTTGGAAAGTTGCCTAAACAAGTGGAGTTTGGCAAAAGGATGCCCTCGCCTGCCTATTATTTAACTTGGCAGAAAGCTGTAAGAGAGACCAATGTTCAGACAAGCAACATAATCTTCAATCACCTGGCACAGCTTCTAGGTTTTTCTGATGATATTGATATTATAGGAAGGTCTGAATGGGCTCTCAGAGAAGTGTTTACAGCCCTTGAAGCCGCTGCAAGACAACTTGATCCAGAAGTCAACGAGAAGATGACAATGAGAGTTAGTGGTGAAGTGGATCTGAAATCTCAAATTGAGGTAAGATCTTTTAAGTCTAAAAACTCTATATATCCCTTGGGTCTGAAGTAAATAGCAAGAATGACATGCTCAAGAAATACAGAGAAGGATCACACTTGTCGGACACTTTAGAAGTAGGTATCTCTGAAAGAAGACCAAGGTGATTATATACCAGATCCTTGTATGGCCAGTTTTGATGTATGGATCAGAGGCTTGAGATGAGATGAAGCTGAGTGTGTTCAAGCTAGGAGTAATCAGAAAGATCTATGGCCCAGTGAAGGAGAGTGATGTCTGGAGGAAAAGAAAAATAGGGAACACAGTTCTCTTTTTGCAGACATGGACGCAGTCACCTTCATCAAACTTACCAGACTAAGGTAGGCAGGGGCCTTTGAAATACTCAAAAAAATAATGATTTAGGAGCTGCACTGCTCAAGACGAGTAGGAAGGCCAAGGATGAGATGGCCGGACAGTGTGGTCTATGATGCAAGAACTCTGCTTGGCATACGGAACTGGAAAGCTTCAACAGAAGACAGAGCCAACTGGCGGAGGCTCTTGGAGGAGGCCCAGTCTTGGTAACGGAATGTTGCGCCACATATGTATGTAATTAAGTATATTCACCTATAGAGGCTGGGTTTGCCGCAGGAGGGTCTCCCGGCCTCAGGGTCGACCCACAGCTTTTATTTCAAAACAAACTCGTATTTAAGAGTTTTAGTGGATGCCAAAAACGAATCTGAATAGTTTTTTGTGATAAAAATTTAATTGGAAGTGTCTTTAAAATTTATGTAATACAATTAAAAATATGTTCTTTTATTTTACAAAAAAAAAAAAAAAAAAAAATCAATTGATATATAATAACTTAGAAATCAATGCAGAGCAAAGTCAGAAAACATTAATATAAAAAAAATAACATTTTTTTTTCTGGGCTCCTAGGGTGCATTCGCAAGAACCCTCAGACATGGATCAAATATTTTTGACCTAGTATCACCCAAAAAGTTGTCCTTAATGAAATCGGTGACATCATGTCTGTAATCTCCCCTTGTAAGTAGATTAGCAAATGATCATAGAGCAGAACTGCACCACTCCACAGCCTGAGCTAGACCCCAATATTTATAATTATCTAATCAAAGCACTATTTGACATTTAATATCTCTTCTCATTCTTATTTAATCTTCCTCTCTTCCACCTGCACACCATTATATATGATTTATTCAAGTTCACTTTAAGATTCCATTTCTCATAACATATTTCCATATCTATAATTACTGATTTTAAGAAAGCAGGTGAAGATACTATGAGCCTTATTTCTTCAGTGACTATCAAGGTTGTTATTTTGAATTAATTTATAATAACCTAACTCCTTAATTCATTTTCTGTATCATTTGTGAAAATTGAAAAGATAATATTAATATATTTATTTGTTCTAGGAACAAGAAAAAATAGCTAAAGCTGGATTAGAAATGAAATTAGCTACATCAGAAATGGAGGCTGAAACAGAGAGGTGGCAAGAAGGTCCAAATGGTGCTATTGATGAAAACAATGATATTGTTAAAAGAGCTAGAAATATGTCAAGTATGGCATTCCGAATGTATCAGTTTACCAAGGGTAGTGGCCCTCTAAAAACTACACAAGATTTGTTTACTCAAGCTGAATATTTTGCAGAAGAAGCTAATAGACTATACAAAATTGTGAGACAGTTTTCTTACCAGGTATAGTTGAAAATTAAACTTCATGTCATTTTTATATTTGTAAAACCTTGAATAACATGTATTAAGAAGAAAAGGTATAGAATGGGAACTTATAAATTCATTTTTAGAAAAAATTATAATTAAAAATACTTTATATTTCAAAAACATTATGTCTAAAAAAAATAATGGTAATTAATAAAGTGATGAGTAAATTATCTTATCAATAATGGATAAATATATGTAAACTCTAATCCTAATTGTGTTGCATCAGGGCAGCCTTAAAAATGCTCAGGTTTGAATCAAGCCTATAGCTTTGGGTGGAAAATAATCATTGTTTTCAGACTGATATATCACACCATTGATATTTGCCTTAGATGTTTTTTAAACCTAGGATACTAATATTCCCATCAATTTTATCTGTTATATTTTTAGAAATATTGAAAATATTGTAGCAAGTCATGTTCAAAAAAATTAGATGGACCAGATCTTTTAAGCTAGCACTTTAGGCTATGGAATTGCTCATTTCCTCTGACAACTTAAATTCATTTTCTGAATAAAATTAATTTTTTTTTTGTATAACATATCCACAATATTATCGATATGTTATGTTTTAATAATTTTCTGCAAACACTGTTGTAATTATAAAGACCTGACTTGCCAAATTCATTGTTGGTGATGGTGGCATTAGTGACTTCATAATTTTGTTTCCATGATGATAACATACAACTAAATGTTTGTACTTTACCTTGAAGGGGTAAGTAAATTATAACAACCAATTTCCCTTCAAGTTCTGTCTACTCATGCCATATGTTAATCTCCTATGATTAAACATAGATGAATACTTTTTTTTTTTTTTTTTGCCATCATTTCTATAGAAGTTAAATTTTATTTTTTGATGGGCCCATGGAATAAATCCTACATTCATAACCTGGTTAGCACAGGTTATTATCACATAGATTAACTCACCTTTTTTGTCTTGGTTAGTTTTCATAAGGGTATTAAATCCAATTGCCAATAATAAAAGAAAATTTTTCCTAGTACACTAGTTTTTGTATGCAAGTATTATAATGAAAAGCTGCAGTCTCAATGTTTTCCTACTTCCAACTTTATAGGGTCCTTTAAATTACTCATGATTTGCAGGTTCCTGCTGGTGTTCACAAGAAAGAACTTTTAGAACAGCTTGATCGTGTGCCAACTCATGTGCAACAATTACAGTTTACTGTCAAAAATCCTACTGTTGGGAAAGCTGCTACATTTACTAAAGTTGATACTGTTATTCATGAAACAAAGAATCTTATGAGCGTTATTTCAAAAGTTGTTACAACTTGCTTTGTCTGTGCAACAAAGGTAATTTTTGTTGGTTTTTTAAATGTCTTATAACATTGATTATTTTATAAAGGTTATTATTATTATTTTATTATCCTTAAGCATCCACTGTTTGTAAAGTTTCTCCTGGCCTTGACCATGATCTTTTTCACCCATTATTGTTGTACGTAATCCACTTTTCATCACCCATAATTATTTATTTCAAAAATGACTGAAGGGTTTGGTATAGCTATTCAGGATCAAGTTATCGCAACCAGGGCTTATAGATAACATACTAAAAGAAAACTTGGTCACGGATAAATGTCGCCTTTTCTCTAACACCCATGAATCTACTCAACATGTAACCAATGGCTGCGGTACTTTGGCTGTCATAGAATTCCTGATGTGGCATAATACTGTTGCAAAATATACCACCAAAGTATTTGCAGAATATCCGGGTTACTGGGCAATGATGAGATACCCTACTATCATTATACCCCAGAAAAACTTATAGAAGACAGAAATATAAAAGTTTATTGGGATGAAAAAATAATAACAGACCATAGGATATTGTATAACCGTCTTGAACTTTTTATTGTACACAAAACAAATGAAACTGGGAGAATCATAGATCTATCATTACCCTGTGATTCCAATCTAGTAACCATCAGGGCCAAAAAAATTCAAAAATATCGAGAACTTGCCTTGGAGTTAAAAATGCTATACCATTCATAAAAAGTAAAAATTATTCCAGTAATCATATCTTCTAAAATTGAAAAGCACACTAGAGAGTACCCAAGATTTTGGACTTGGCTTGGCCTATTTAAAATCAGCACAGGAACCAATTCTGCTCGATAAATGCAGGATTGAAAAAAATATTTAAATAAGTGAAGTTGTCCATCTACATTCCCTTGAATGCTTTCCAGGATTTGGATAACTGAGAAAGCAAAAATATAATAAAATCAAAACCTTTAGTTATTTTACATTTATGTATAGGGTTATTTACTCATTTTCTGTAACATATCAGATGTATTTAGACGTATCTTAACGTTTGTGAAGATTGAAAACATATATATATATATATTTTTTTTTTATTTAACGCCTCTGCCGTTGGCTATTAGGCCATTCGGCTCCTGGCAGCCCAATATAATTCCGCCATAACAGATTTCTACAATTTGTTGATTCCTTTGCTTATATTTGTGCCCATCCCATCAGAAAGATTACTGCGGACATCTGACAGAGGCATACTAGGAAGTGCAGGTCTCATCCTCTTGGCAAAGAGAGCACATAGGACTTTCCATCTCTCCAATCCTATGTTGCCTGTTGTTTTTGCCTATTCTTGTTCTCTTCCTTGTAAAATGATTTATTATATACATTCAATATTATTTATATATAATGAAAATATGTATGTCTTAAAATTTATATTTTTTGGAATGTAAATAATACCATAGGGTAACAATATAGGATGACATTTGTAGAACGAAAACTAATCAACAAATTCTTCTAAATTTGTTTAGTTGCTCAAGGTACAGTTCAATCATTGAGTGGCTAGAAAAGTATTCCAAATGAAGTGATCTGCCATTTAATTTTATGTAGATATATATATTGTGTTGTGTATTGTTGTTAAAGTAAGGTCTTTGAAAATTTTGATGGTTTTGTTGTGGCATAAATGCTTGATTAAAGTTTTGAATGGTCTGTTTTGAAACATATTATTTGATTGGAAGTTATGTTCTGGTTCATAATTTAGTATTTTTAATGGATGACTGTTTTGTTATCTCATGTTGATATTATTTATGGGATGCAAATGACACAAAGCAGCATTAAATAAAAGCCAATGATTAGCTTCCCTTTCTCTAACTGATTCATTACAATAGGACCTATATATATCTTCAAAAACTTTAATAAAATGTGTTAATTTATAAGAGATACTTTCATATCTTGCGATAAATTTGAGAATATCAGGGGGTTAAAATTTTTGAAATATCAGGCATTTTGATAAATATTAGGTAAAAGTATTATATGTGTAAATGAAATTATATAATCACTTGAATCTAATAAGCAAGTCCAATCCCTTAAATTGTTACAAGATATAATGAATAATTAGTTATAAAGTATTTTCTTGAGACAATAGGTCACAAGTCAGCCTCTGCTTATGAAGACTCCTGACATTCTGAAGACTCGTAGGGTTGAAAAAGCTCATATTTAAAGAATTTTCTATACTAATCGTGCGGATGAAGTGTTGAAACTCAGGTTTGGGTGGGAAATAGATCACGTCAATAATTACTAGCGATTAAAATAATTAATTAAAAGCGATTTGAGGTATGAAAACTTTACTATATCTGTATAATTTCGATGATGAATTAAGGCATCAAATAATGATTTAAATGAGGGAAATTGTTTGTACTGACTGGAAAATTGAGGAATTTGCAAATCTGGCAATTTAGGGTATGAAACTGGTTCAGACATGGGTTGAAAAGCAGGAACTATATGCTCAGCTTTAATTAATTTCTCATGCACAACTTTTATCTCATAATAAAGTTCTTCCGCCACTAAAGATGCTGCGTTTACTTCTATGTTCTTCATCTAATGATTCATTTAGCACAGAAATCTTGTTCAAAATCCCTTCAAAGTCCTCTAGTTGTGCTTTAATTTCTGAAGCCCTAACCATAAAAATTTCTTTTCTATCAGGGAGACTCTTAATCATATCTAATGTGGTTTGAATTCGAAGAAACATCCTTTCCTTTCTATCCTTTCTGTCAAGAGCAAACAGTGCTTTCTTCTCCCTATAAAAAGTATTAAAATCCTGAATAATTTCAAATTAAGGGTATACATGCTATGATAAAGCCAGTTCTAATATATGGCTGTGGGACCTAGACACTAACCAGAAAAAGTTATTAAAAAATTTGAGAAAAAATCCTCTGTATGCAGTGTTTGTACGTAGCGATCTATGATCCAGAATACAAGCACATGGAGAAGAAAGACCAATAAAGAGCTGCTTAAAGAAACCAGTCAATCAGTATCTTATGATATGAAGGCATGGAGTTTAAGATGGGTGTGGCATCTAGCTCAAAGCCATCCATCTGGAAGCCTCTACATGAAAATTAATGCCTCAATAGTAGATAAAAGACCACATGACAGTGGTTTGGAAGCCCAAAAGCAGATGGATAGATCAAATCAACAAAGATGCTATAGACAGGGTGTCCAGCGATTCGGAAAACCAGGATTTTTTTTATTTATTTATTTGTGCTCCTTTATCCTATAAAATAAAAAAGATCAACTTTTAATAGTATTGTATGTTCCTGATGATGGGAAGAACATTTCTCGAAACACCTAACAGATATAGTAATAAACAAAGAATAAAATCAGTAAAAATACGTCCTCCTGTATATAATTCTTTATTTTATCTTGCTACCAGTTTAGCTCCTTCCTCAGACTAAATATAATAATCATGTAAAAATTAAGGATATAAAAATTAATAACAATAAAAAGCAAAATTTACAAATCAATTTATTAAATAAATGAAAACAAAGTAATTAAATAAAAACTAATTATCACGTAATTTATTGCAGTTCTCCTCTCCTGCTTGTCAGATGACTGATAAAAATAAAACCAAAACTATTGTTTTGATGGACATTCGTCATCTACATCTTGTTTTCATAAGCCGCTACTAATTTAATGAAAACAGCTCTCCCCCTTCCCCCGGAGGCTGGAAAAAAAAATCCAAAAAAGTTCCAAAGAGCAACTATTTAAAGAAAAGAGAAATATAGGGAAAATTCATCCTCATAGACGAAATTTAATAAAAAATTTATCGTAACCAACACTAGCGAATTCTGCCAAAGCCCTCTGTCCATTATGCCTTGGATAATGGAAGGAAATTCCTAAAAAAGTGACAAAAACACCTATTTAAAGAAAAGAGAAATGTAGGGAAAATTCATCCTCATACACGAATTTCCTAATGTAATACATAAAAAAAATTATTATCGTGACTAGCACTTGCGAATTATGCCAGATTGTGCGTTCTCCTCTGGATATTAAAAAAATAATTTCGAAAAAAAATCCAGAAAAACACCTATTTTAAGAAAAAGTGATGAAGTTTTTGGACCGCCGTGAGATGCGAAGGCTTGTGCTCCTTTCACAGTTTGTTCCTATTGACTCCGAACTGAATCTCGCAGGTGAAATACATGATGGAGGAAAATTTATTTAAAAAAAAAAGAACTATATTATTTATTCTTTCCAACCACCTTTTATTCTAGCACAAGAAAATACAGGTTTTCTTTCGGACCCAATTTTTACTCAGTTTCAATAGATCTGGACACATTGCAACCTTCAGGAACTATAGTCTCCTTGAAGAATCCATGCGATTCATAAAACTGGTCAAGATAATAATTAGTATTTTCTCATTAGAAAGTGTTGTACTTTTATTAAAATAGCTGCTGTTGGGACCGTTTTCATGAAGCAATGTACTAATTATTTGGTCTCCGATTTGTTGGGAAACTGATCATGACTGGAATAGAAAATTATTGTGATTTTTTTTTCTTAAAAAACTCATTTTCAAGCTACAGGACCATTTATAGTAATCTTTCATTCATCATCATCATTTATATCACTTAATCAAATTATTAAGTTTAGGTATTCGTTCTAAGCAGAATTTGACGTTTTTTAATTTCTTAAAGATTATGTTTTTCGCTTTGATGTACCGTTCAGTAGTAATACATGAAAAAAAAAATCAGATAAATCTGGATTTTTTGGCTGTAATAAGTTTTCTCTTGGTGACCCATGTTAGCAATTTAGTTGTTTACATATCTTAATACAGGGTGTCTCTTAAGTAGAGGGAAATATTTAAAGCAGTGATAGCAAAACTCGATAAATACAAAAAAGTTTATTTAAACAATGGTTCGATTTTTAGCAGGAAAGTGGGGAATTAAAGTTTTGTGATTTTTTATGTAAGCCACCTTTTTTGGTAAGGAGGAAGTGATAACAAAAAAACTATTTGATTTAAGTAATTATTGATAGTTTCACTGTTAACTAGACAAAAATTACTT